AGTTCATTTTGTATTGTTTGAGGGGTTCAACGTTTGTAGAAGTGCAGGTAATAGATCAATTAAAACTTCTCTTGCCTTGATATATTATATTCTAATGCTTTTAAGTGGGTTTGAAAAAAAAGAAGATGTTTGATAATATTAGATAACACTGCCTCTGTATTTTGAACATGGTGTATCATCAGCTAAGAAATTTTATCTTGTACTGCATAGTCTCGCTGTTTATCCTTTTCTTCCACTATTAGATCACATGATATGAAGTACACATTGAGGTTCCTGAAGTTGTAATTTCTTTACTGAACTGCCCGTGTGAGTTCTTGTCATATTTGTCATATTACTGTCTGCTGACAAGTTTTTAGTAATTAGTCAAAGAGAATCAAATATTTTCTTCATTTTTTTGGAAGCTTTTTTCATGAACTGAGAGAATCCATATCTTATGGCATCTCACATAGTTATAGCCTTCTAGGGTAAGATAAGTGAGACTCGTCGAGCCTAAAGTCCTTTGCCTCCAATATAACCGTATTTGTTTTGGGTTGTCTTGTAAGGGTGCTGCATTTCGTACAACATAAACTAAATACTTGAAATTGATTTTTGGTTCTGCACAACTGTTCCACTCTTGCTGTATTGACTGATGGTGTTCTAATCCGTTACTCGAAGTAATCTTGATGGTAGTGATGTTTTTTTTTCCAGGATGATAAGGTAAGGAGACGGGATGGTTGGAGGAAATGGACCCGTACTGCTGGCCAGCTTGCAGCTGATTCAGGTTTGTCCACACCTGTTGCATCGACAGATGGTGGTCTAACAGCTTCCTTGCAGAATGTCTCTGAGAATGAATCAGCTACAAATATCAGTAGTGCTACAGAAGTGACCGATGCTCAACTGGAGGTAGCTGCTGGTGGCTTATCGGACGAATCAGCTAATCAATCAAACCCGGCTCAAGAAGAAGGCAGCGCTGGCGCTGAAAAAATCTCTACCAACCATGCATGAAACAATACTGTCGATTTTGCAACGAGTGGCAACTCTGTCTTGCATGCTGATTCAAAGGAAGGTGTATTTGGAAGGTTATACATACATCATTTGCTGCCCTTGGTGGAGGCCATATTTTTTGCAGTTTTTGAGGTGAGTGGAAGAGTTAAACTAATGTGTAAGTTATCTGGTATAGAGAGTGGAACGATAGTGGAGATTAAAAGGATATACAGTTGAGGCTTGAGACTTTTCGAGTCGTTTGGCTCGTATACTTGCATCGCATATGCAAGCTGGTATTCCATTGTGATACAATGGAGTGAATTTGGATTTTGAGCCTAAGGTTTAACGTTTTTGGGTTGAAATTTTACCTCCATTTCAGAGGAAACATTCTGAAAATGTAGATTTAGTGCTTGGCTGGTAACCAGAGTGATTGTGCTCTGCTGATTTTGTTATACTTATCTAGGCATATTGATTGTTTTAAATTATTGTTTCTTTTTTGCATCTCATTATATTATAGTTATGTTTTAGAGATTTCTTCTCTATCTCATGATGAGTTACTGCCTACCCCAAGGAGGCCTTGAGACTTGTGGAACAAATATTTGAATGTGGTGTTTACACTAATCTATACCGATTTGTCATACTTAAGTGATAGGTTAAGGTGAGATGTGTATTAATTAACTACGATTTTTTGATAGTAGTGTACTGCTCGTCCGTGCTATTGCCAGTGTTTGCCAAACCATGTCGGTGATGACTCGTTTGCTAGTACTACAATAGTAGTGGCATTGCTCATGGTGAGTTGTGAAGACATGTGCCATGTATTCATTGCTGGTGTTTGCCAAACCATGTAGGTGACAACTCGTTGTTTTGCTAGTAGTACGATAGTGGTGGCATTGCCCATGGCAAGTGTATTATGTAGTCATTGCTGGTGTTCGCCAAACCACGCAGGCAGTGACTCAATAGTGTGCTTGTAGTACACTAGTGTGACATTGTTCATGGCCAGTGTATGTGAAGACATGTGTCATGTATTCACCGAACCTCGTCTACAATGACTCGTTGTGAGCTTGTAGACTAGTAATGACGTTGTTAATGGCGAGTGTATGTGAAGACACATGTCATATATTCATTGGGTCGGCTTAAGCATTGAGGGCAAGTTACTTTATGGTAGTCATCTTTCAGAATAAGAATAAAGGGTCTTGCTTTAAGAACAAGAGATTTGTGTTGATAATGAGTTGGGAGAAATAATGATTTAACTTTCTGAAGAACCACTGGATTTGTGGACCAGTTTTTGCTTTAGGAATATTATCAAAAAGTTGTTTATAAGCATCTAAGGACCTTCATTGGCATTTCTATGCATAATACTTTTTTTTGAAAAGAAAAACTAAATAATTTGTATAAAAAGTGGTTCGAAATTCTATCCCTTTTCATAATAAGTGTATAAATATTTTTTTATAACAATTTTATTTCATAAAAATGGTACATCTAAAACATTACCAATTGAAATAGGGTAGTACTCAAGCATGATCGATAAATGTCAAATAACATCCAAGGAGCCGTTTGGTTATCGGAATATATGTGATAACTAATCCTATCATTTTAGTACAAAGTGGTTCCGGGGACTAATTAATACCTATTTATCCCTTACCTCACCAAGCAAACACTGCTTAGCTTCATGATTAATACTAATCTAACAGAGGATAATTACAATAAAATTTGGACTACCAAATCCGTTGTCGTCCAGCGGTTAGGATACTCGAGTCAGAGATAGATCCTCGAAACAACTTCTCTACCTCATTGAGATAGGAGTAAGATCTACCTACACTATAACCTCTCTAAACCCTACTTATGGGATCGGATTACACTGAGTTTTTTGTTGTTTACGCAGGACTAATCATGACCTAGAAAAAAAAAACTCGAATCCACATAACAAACAATAACACTTGGTGGGGTTATCATTGTATATGTGTAACGTCATTGTCAAAAATCTAAGGAATAAACGTCTTTCTGTCTAGGATACCACTTTAAATTTATGCAATAATCATGCTGGAAAATAATGATGATTATTAGGGTTGCAATATAATGATTCACATGCAGTTAGAATTATTTGTAGCAATCAAAAGAAAAAGGGATTAAAAAGTGTGAATGTCTTTAAAAAATATTTTCCCCCAAATAAATGTACTCTTTGTTGCCTAAACTTTTGGGATGTCAAATACTTGTGTCTACACTTCTTTCTCTTCAACAAATATGATGGAAAATTGGAAATGCTATTATTGTGTGAACTACTTGCAACATGTTTTTTTAAGACGTTACAACACTAGGGAGAGGCTTAGCTAACATGTAATATACGTGTTTACATGAATTCAGTAATTTATGCTTTAATTCTACTATGTAAACATTTGTCTATAGAATTTTGGAAGTATGATTTCAAATTAATGTTTATTTATGAAATTTGTACAAAATTTCAACTTTTAACTTTAAATTAACATGATTTAAAATAGTCCAAACGACCTAAGTGTGTATAAAATATTTGACTATAAATAAAGTACTATTTATAAACTTCAAATTTTGAATTTTCCCCGAGAAAAGTTTAAGTAGTAGAAAATTGATGCGCAACTGCTTGAAGTGAATGTCGCCTTGAAACACTCAAATTTTGTTACTGACCACCAAACTTAAGTACGTTTATTACTCTAATGTATTACTCTCGTTTTTATTTACTTGTCAAATATTTTCTAATTTAATTTCTTATTGACAATTTGTTTTTCCTATTATATACTTAATTTATTAACATTGACATAATATCTTAAGAAAATATAATGAGTAAATATGTTTATGACTCTATCAATTCATAGTAGTAAAATTATAAACTCACTATATCAATCATTGTTTTCTTAATAAATATGTCAAAGTAAAAATTTGACAAGTAAAAACGAACGTAAGGGAGTAATTATTGTTGCCTATGGGCTATAAGCCTAAACTAATTTTGATCCATACGATCCTTGCTAATTCATAATCACATTTGTATATTTTAAAAAGACATATCAGAAACAAACTTTTCTTTTAAAAATGGTAATGTTCATTATATTTCAGTACGTATCTATTACCTTCCCTGATCATATGTACCAGATAACTTTGCTACATGATTTAGATAGATAAATTTTTTTTTAAGCTAACGTTCTTTTAGGCATATTATATAAATGTATTTTTTGATTACGATTCAACTGATTTATGCTTTTTAATTTTGGATGTCTACAAGTAAGTACTTAAATTGGTTTAAAGTTAAACAAGTAGACACACACAATTTGCCATGTAAGACGCATGTATCTACTAGTTCAACTTTACGATAGTTTAACTACCTATTCGTGCACATCAAAAATTGAAAAATACAAATACTAGTAAAGGTCAAGTTAAAAACATATTTATATGTTAAACTTTTTTTTATAATTTTTTTTAAAAAATGATTTGAACCACAAGCTCTTGTGCGATTTTCATAACATTCACTTAACTATTAAACATTAAACCACACCCTTGGATGTCAGATATAACTTTTGCTTCAACTACTCGTCAGTAAGTTATATTTGTTGAACAACTCACTAAATACTTATATAATAAATTTTATAATCCATAAACTTCAAATCATAAATACGAACAAATTAAAAAGTAACAATAATAATAATAATTTAAAAACACACTCTGAAATTTGAATGATTAGGACAACCTTCCAATCTAATAGGCATGTAGGCTAGTTCTGTTATTCTGTTACATATACTTCTTTATACCTAACATATTATATTACTAAAATACTCTAATCCAAGCACCAATCGCCACGTGGACGACGATCGCCACCGCCTACCACCACTCCACTGTCATAGTGGCGTGTTTGGATAAGCATTAAACGCACTATAGGTGGGTAAAATTTATAGGCCGTGGCAGGTGATTGACGGGCAATTATAAAGTGCGCACACGCATGAATGCACCAAATAATGATTACTATATAATAAGCTTTTTGTGATCAACATTTTTAACTTTAAAAAGAACATTCATTTTTGTTAAAAGATTTAATTTGGTAACAAAAATGAAAGACATTGTTCTGTTTTTTTGCTTCTTTTTATTTTTATTCTCTTTGCTTAGAGAAACTAATGCAGTTTCTCAAGAAAAAAACAATGGTGTATATATTGTTTACATGGGTGCTGCTGATTCGTCGAACGATGGCACGAAAAATCAGCAAGCAGAACTTATGAGCTCTTTGATAAAAAGGTTAGTTTATATTAGTATACTCTCTTCGTTTCATTTTATATGACACTATTTTCTTCTATTGTCCTCGATGTAGAACTCGTTGGCTTTAGACTCTTTAATGTTACGGTCATAAAAATGTCATATGACACGTTTATGAGGTATGTAGTGGAAGTCTTTCTTTCTTGATCGTACTACATGTCCAATCAAACACCGTCAGATAAAAATGAAACAGAGGAAGTATTACACATGGCTCTGAATTTGTAACAAAATTTTTGGCTGGTTGTTACTTTTTGAGACAGTTAATTGGTAAATGATCCTATTTTTATTTCTATTGCAACTTATGGACCTTTTAGACCGCGGTCTGAACGTCCCTTTTTGAGGAAACTAAGAATCTTATGAGAAAATGTTAGACTAATGGAATTTTCATTATAGTTCATTTTCAAGAATGAGGTTTTAACATGTATCTCTAATGTATGTTAGAAAAAAGGATGCAGTTGTACACAGTTACAACAATGGTTTCTCAGGATTCGCAGCCCGTTTATCAGAAGCTGAGGCTAAATCCATTGCTCAAAAACCTGGAGTTATATCAGTATTCCCTGATCCAATATTGCAACTCCACACAACGCGTTCGTGGGACTTTTTGCAATATCAAACTGAAGTAGAAATCAGTTCTGGTCCAATATCTGGTTCTGATAACGCGTCACCAAAAGGCGTTGATACTATAATTGGAATCTTGGATACAGGTGCAACATTTATAAAATGAAGTGCAAGCAAGTTATATATTTTGTATTTTGTATGATGAAATTTAATTTTGACCATTTTTTTTTCAGGAATATGGCCTGAATCAGAGAGTTTTAGTGATAATGATATGAGTGAAGTTCCATCTAAGTGGAAAGGAACTTGTATGGAAAGTCATGATTCCACCTCTTTCAAATGCAACAAGTAACTTTCTAGCTTCTTATATTTGATTTCGCGTATGATCACACATGTTTTCCACCACATCATATAACAACTGAACGTTACATAGTTGATAGTACGTGTAACAATAAAGTCACTAAACTATTTTCAGTCACGTTTAAGTAACTGAACTTTTCCTACCTTAACAGTAAAATCATTAAACTTTACTCATTATAGTGACCATACGTGGAATTAACCCTCATAGATATATGGCAAGAAACTTATAGTGTTTGCGATTTTTTGTGATTGATTTGATGTTCTATTAGGAAGTTAGTTGGTGCAAGGTTCTACGATGACTCTGATGAGGATGGTGTAAGACCTTCTGGTTCAGCTAGGGATGAGAATGGACATGGAACTCATGTTGCATCTACAGCAGCTGGGAGTCCGATTTCAGGAGCATCTTATTATGGTTTGGCTTCTGGGACCGCGAAGGGTGGATCCCCGGGTTCAAGAATAGCCATGTATCGTGTCTGCATGACTGATGGATGTCACGGATCAGCTATAATGAAAGCATTTGATGATGCAATTGCAGATGGGGTTGATGTTTTATCGCTATCACTTGGTTCATCATCTGGTCTTGAAGTTGAGTTTTCGAGTGATCCTATAGCTATTGGAGCATTCCATGCTGTTGAAAAGGGAATTCTTGTTTCCTGTTCTGCTGGAAATGATGGTCCTGGTCCGGCAACTGTTGTCAATGTCGCACCTTGGATTCTCACAGTTGCAGCTACTACAATTGACCGTGACTTCGAGACAGATATTGTCTTAGGTGGAAACAAGTTGATTAAGGTAAGAAGAGACACTTTTTCTAAACCAGATCAATCTTGTGTTCTGTTTAGCCAGAGGAAATGTCAAAACTATCTACTATAATACTTGGTATCCTTGTTTGAGTTGCAGGGTGGAGGTATAAGTTTTGGTAATTTGACAAAATCTCCAGTATACCCGCTGATTAGTGGCGATTTAGCCAAATCCGGCAATACTGATGTTTCGGAGAAAAATGCAAGGTAATTTAAAGAATAGAGAATATTAGGACACAACATTTGATGTCTACTCATACAGTCAGACCTCTCTATAACAACCATGTTTCTTTTGGAACCAATTTTCCATGCTATGTTATATTATATTATTTCTGTAACGGCATTTCTCTTTAGCAACCAAAAGATTCCTGATATAAGATACTGTTATAGAGAGGTTTGACTATAGTACATACCTATAACTAACCAAAGTGTTTCAGGTATTGTAATCCGAATTCATTAGATGGAACCAAAGTTAAGGGGAAAATTGTTCTTTGTGATAATCGCGACGGATACTATTCACTTACTGAGAAACTAACAGAAGTGAAGAGCAAAGGTGGCATTGGATTTATAGTAGTAGATGATAATGCAAGAACTGTGGCACCTAAATTCAAATCCTTTCCAGCAGCTGTTGTAACTGAAAAGGATAGCAATGAGATCCTTTCTTACATCAACTCAACAAAGTAATTAGTTGGCCATTCTGAATTTCATTTGTTGCTAACTGATGATTTTTTGCTTATAATATTCTTCAAAACTTGTGAAGGAAACCAGTTGCATCAGTTCTGCCAACTGTTACCATAGCCAACTACAAACCAGCTCCTCTTGTGGCTTACTTCTCATCAAGGGGTCCTACATACAACACACATAATCTCCTCAAAGTAAATACTATTTTTGTCTTCTTTCTTGCAAGTAGTATTAGAATTATTCTCGTAGTTTCTTGTTCTTTGATTTCGGCTATCACTGGTGTTTTTTTGTTCTCCGACTATTGCATTATTTTGTGGTAGTTACTGTTCTTTCTTCTGTCTATTGTATAATGCATCTCCACTTCGCATTATTCCGTTGTTGTTATTGCTCCCATATCTGTATCCCCTTTTGCAAACTAATTGTCATGCTTACTTTAAACCGAGTCTATCGGAAGCAACTTCTCTATCTCTACGAGGTAGGGGTAAGGTCTACATACACTCTAATATGTTGTTTATCTTCTTTGGTTATGCTCTAATGAAGATAGAAAAACAACAAAAAATAGGCTGACTCAAATTTGATATTTGTCCTTGCAGCCAGATATTACAGCACCAGGTGTTGCAATTCTCGCGGCTTGGCCTGGAAACGACACAAACGAGGCTGTCGCTGGCCAGGCGCCACCACTTTACAACATAATATCAGGGACTTCCATGTCCTGCCCTCATGTTTCTGGTATTGCCGCATTAGTCAAGGCGCAAAATCCTTCTTGGAGTCCTTCAGCAATCAAATCAGCTATCATGACCTCAGGTAAGAAGTCGTAACTCACCTACTACAGTTTATTTTAGGTATATAGACTCATATCAATGTCGTGAAAACAACCTCTTGCAGAAATGTAAGGTAAGACTGTATATAATATACAATGTGGTATGCCTATACTCCGGCAATAGCAGGAGCTTAGAGCATCGGACTGCCTTTTATACCGACTCATGTCAATCTTTGTTTTTACAGCTTTACAGACTAACAATTTGAAGGCTCCAATCACAACAGTCTCTGGATCCGTTGCAACACCATACGACATAGGAGCTGGAGAAGCAAGCCCTTCATTAGCACTTAATCCAGGATTGGTCTACGAGACTAACACTGCAGACTACTTGCAGTACCTATGCTCAGTTGGCTACGATAAATCAAAGATAAAACTCATCTCAAATACTGTTCCTAATGATTTTTCATGTCCCACCAACTCAAGTTCTGAATCCGTCTCACAAATGAACTACCCTTCCATTGCTGTTTCAAATATCAAAGAGAATGAAATCAAGAAAGTAACAAGAACTGTAACTAACGTAGGACAAGAAGACGCAACATACACAGCAAGTATAAAGGCACCAGTTGGTTTGGAAGTCCAAGTGACCCCGAATAAATTGGTATTTACAAATAATAGCAAGAAGTTGAGCTATGAAGTGTCTTTCAAAGCTTCATCTAAACCAAAGGAAGACTTGTTTGGATCAATTACATGGACAAATGGTAAATACAAAGTCCGAAGTCCATTCGTTGTATCTACTAATTCACAAGGTGTCTGATAACACTCCCAAACAGCAGATCGCCGATCAAACTAGTCTAGCAAGTTTGTATGTACTGTAATAGTCCATGAACTCACCTATGTTACTACTACATCATATACATGCTTACTTGAAAAAAAAAAGAGAAATAAAGATCAGATGACAGACTTGTTCACAGAGTGAGAATATAATACTACCTCCGTTTCAATTTGTTAGTCTGATTTTAACTTGACACATAGTTTAAAAAGTAAACACTTATGAATCTTGTGGTTTTAAAATAAAGATACATTGGATGTACCAAAATGTGCTTTAATCTTGTGGTCTTAAACACGCCATGTTGGAGTGTAAATTTATCAGAAGAAGCTACTTAAATGTTGGACAAGAATTTTATGAACTAAAAGCCTGTATGCTTTTTCTGTAAGATGAAAACTATCCCAAAAGACGTAATCAGAATCACTGGAACACGCGAATCTGCATAACTCTGCAACTTCTATTTGCCCTGTCCCGCAGCATCCTTTGTCTGCAATCTTGAATCCTGCACAATCATTTAAAGATAAGAAACGGAGATCTTGTTGATATTCAGGAGGAAGACAGACATATCTGTACCATATTTTTGAGGGTTGTTGATGACATCAAGTGGAAGATTGTATATATCAACATATACTAATCTCGAATTAGGTAACTTGTTTCCCAGAGAACTTAAGTCAGCTGCCAACTTGCTGTTGAACAATAGTGCTGCTTGGTTCAAATAATCAACACAATGTCTTTCTTCTCCTCCTTTCAGTGTTCTTTGCGATGGCAAACATCCGATTGGTGGTATGCCAAAAACACCAATCCGGCGTGCCCCTAGCTCGTGTAAATCCTTCAGAATCATGAACAACATCTCATTATTTAGTAGTGTACATTTCCATAAGTTCAGATTGAGTTGAAATGTTATATTACCTTTAAAAAACTAGAACCATAGTTGAGCAAAAAATCAGCATATGATGAAATATCATAGTAGGATTTTCGAAGAGGTGTACTGAAGTATGTGTTTGTAATGTCATTACTACCTATGACCAATATGTATAAGCTATTTGCCAAGATTTCATTCTTTCTATCTTCTCCAACTATCTCTCTGAGCTTTACTATGTACTCTTTGAACATTTTCAACTGACCAGACAATGATATAACATTCTGCATTTACGTATGAAAGTTCTCAGAAATATAAGAAAGGTAAAAACTTGTAACACATAAAATAAATGAATAAAGGAATGAAATATACTGCGATTTCAGATGTTAGAGGATCATATCCTGCACCTCCTGAAGCCAAATTAACTCCTGTGATGAGGTCTTCTGCTTGTAAAGTTGGATCAAGATACGCCGGTAAAAGCTCTTTTATTCCCAATTCTTCCACTGAAATAAGATAAACATGAACTATTCTCTATAGTGAATTATAGCTAAGACAATTAAAATTATGATTTATATGTCTAAGTCTTCTTACCAATCAAGTCTGGAGGAACTTTTCCATTAGAGAATCTTCCAGTTGGTTTTCCTCCCATGAAATCCTTCCCATAAGGAGGATAGTTAACCTTCCCTATGGTTGTGAGGCCATTATTGTTACCGGTATCAACAATGGAGTCTCCAAAAACTATCACTGCTGGAATAGACTTATTACGCGGTACTCTCATGTCTGCCTGGATATTGCACAGTAGAAGTGCATAACAAATGCTTGACAACACTAGAAAAGTATGTCTTTCAAACGAGAAAAACTTTATCGATAGAGCTGAAAACATTTCTCGGAGCATGGAGGAAAAAACACACAAACACTAGTATTTAACTTTAATAATCAAGAAGTCAATTTCTAGAGGGTACTTGAGGGCTATCATGGTTACTAAATGCTTGCATTTCTTGTTGATTTAATGTTAGCTTTATTTGATAGGACAACATCCACTTTTACTTAAGTCACAAGCTGATTGTAGAAAGGCTCATCACATGACCGTTATTCGAATACAACAGATAACAAATATTGCATTAAATGATTGTACCTACCCCATGTCAATTTTCTAGAGTAGTGGCCGGTAACTTAGCCAAATCAGAAGAAAATTATGTCTTCTCAAGGAAATGAACTATTATATCTGTTGCATAATGCACATTTGTTCAAAAGATTCTTCTTTGGTTATGGTCTAATGCATAAAACACAACAAAAAGTAGTCTGATTGGATTTTGAATTGTACTTGCTGCCAGATATTCTAGCACCAGAGGTAACCATTCTCGTGGCTTGGCCTAGAAACAACACAAAGGAGGCCGTCTTTGGCCAGGAACAAACCATTCCTCAACATATATACTATCAGGGACCTACCATGTCCTGCCCTGCCTTTTTGGTTTTGCTGCGATTGTCAAGGCGAAAAATCCTTCCTGGATCCCTTCAGCAATCAGTTCAGCTATAAGAAATGTAATTCACCTTCTTGATTTTTTGGGTATACTGACTCATGTCAAGCTGAAATGTGGTACTGCCCTTTCCAGACCCCATGCATAGTGAGAGCTTAGTACATCTAGCTGCCTTTTCTATATACTGGCTCATATCGAGCTTTGTTTCTACAGATAAACATACAACAATTTGAATGATCCAGTCACAACAAATTCTTGATCCCTTACGTACAACACCATATGAGATTGAACAAAGGCCTTCAGGGGCAACAAGTTGAGCTATGAGTGTCTGTTACAGCTTCATCTAAACTTAAGGAAGACTTGTTTGGATAAAAAAACTCGACAAATGGTAAGTTCAAAATCTGAAGTCCTGTCATTGTAATCACTGACTTATACAATGTCTGATAGAACGTGATTACAACTATGTTATTACCACATCATGTACTTGCTTAATCAATAAAAAAGGAAATAAACATAAAAAATGACACATCATGTATCGAATATATCAGAAGAAGCTACTTAAATGTTGGACAAGAATCTGATGAGTTAAAAGTCTGTATGCTTTCTCTGTAAGATGAAAACTATCCCAAAAAATATAATCAGAATCACTGGAACATGTATATGTGCATAACTCTGCAACTTCTATTTTCCCCGTCCCGCAGCATCCCTTGTCTGAAAGTTTGAATCCTACACAATCATATAAATATATGAGAAATCTTGTACATTTAACTATTCAAAGAAAAAAAAAACAGTTACCATATCGTTGAGGGTTGTCAATGACATCAAGCAGAACATTATATGTATCTATATACACCAATCTTGAATTAGGTAACTTGTTTCCCTGAGAACTTGAGTAAGCTTCCAACTTGCTGTTGAACAATTGTGCTGCTTGGTTCAAGTTATCAACACACTGTCTTGCTTCTCCTCCTTTCAGTGTTCTCTGCGAAGGCAAACATCCGATTGGTGGTATGCCAAATATACCAATACGACGTGCCCCTAGACCGTATAAATCCTTCAGAATTATGAACATCATATCATTATTTAGTCTTGAACATTGGCATAAATTCAGATTGAGTTGAAATGTTATATTACCTGTACAAAACTGCAAGCAAAGTTGACCAATAGATCAGCGTATGATGGAACATCATAGTAAGATTTTCGAAGAGGCATACCGAAATAAGTGTTGGTAATGTCATTGGCTCCTGTGACCAACATGAATAAGCTATTTGCCAAGATTTCATTCTTTCGATCTTCTCCAACCAACTCTGTGAGCTTTACAATGTACTCTTTGAATAATATCACTTGGCCATCTAATGAGATGACTTTCTGCATATACACATTAAGTTTCAGAACTAAAAGAAAAGTGTTGGTAAAAGAACACACTGATCAATGAATAAAACAAAAATTATGTACCGCAATTTCGGATGTTAGAGGATCATATCCTGCACCTCCTGAAGCAAAATTAACTCCTGTGATGAGGTCTTCTGCTTGTAAAGTTGGATCAAGATATGCTGGTAAAAGATCTTTTATTCCCAATTCTTCCACTGAAATAAAGACAGAGAGACTAAGAAAACTCTTCTCTATTCAAACTATAGATAGATAGACTTTGCAACTATGTTGCTCGGACTCTCCTGAAATGTTGTTCCACTCGTGTCGAATCCTCCAAAAACACACTATTTTTGGACAATCCAACATGTACCTGTCGACATGTTTCAAGAGTCCAAGCAACATAACTGACTCTACAATCTTGTGTCGAATCCTCCAAAAACACACTATTTTTGGACAATCCAACATGTACCTGTCGACATGTTTCAAGAGTCCAAGCAACATAACTGACTCTACAATCTCGTGTCGGATCCTCTAAAAAGTGCACTACTTTTGGAGGATCCAGTACACACCAGTCGACATGTTTTAAAAGTTCGAGCAACATAGATGTACAATATAGTCCTCTCTATTCAAACTATAGATAGATAGGACTTTACAACTATGTTGCTCAGACTCTATAGAAATGTAATTGCACTAGTGTCAGATCCTCCAAAAAATATTCTACTTATAGAGGATCCAACACGCACCAGTCGACATGTTTAAGAGTCCAAGCAACCTAGATGTACAATATAGTCCTCTCTATTCAAACTATAGATAGATAGATAGATAGATAGGAAAATACAACTATGCTGCTTTGGCTCTCCATAAATGTAGTTGCACCGGTGTTGTATCCTCAAAATATATACTACTTTTGGAGGATCCAACATGCAACAGTCAACATGTTTCAAGAGTCCAAGTAACATAGATATACATTATAGTCCTTTCTGTTCAAACTATAGAAATGTAGGGCTTTACAACTATGCTGTTCTAGAAATGTTGCCACACCAGTGTCGCATCCTCCAAAAATGTACTACTTTTGAAGGATCAAACACGCATCCCTAGACATTTTTTAAGAGTCCGAGCAACATAGCTGTACAATATATCAAATATTTCTTACCAAGGAAGTCTGAGGGGACTTTGCCATTAGAAAACCTTCCAGTTGGTATTCCTCCCATGAAATCTTTACCATAAGGAGGATAATTCACCTTAGCTATAGTTTTAAGGCCATTATTGTTACCAGTATCAACAAT